CTCAAGGGTTACTTCAGGCTCTGTGCTCAGGAACCACACCTGGTGGTGGTACTCAGGGGCCCCTTTGGGATGCTGGGATGGAATCCAGTTTGGCTGCCTGCAAGACAGACGCCTTCCCTGCTATGCTATCGCTCAGGTCCTTCACACAGTTTTGTTTCCTTGCTCAGCCTTGGAGCAGGCTTCCCCCCAGGCAGTGCTCAGGGGATTCCTGGGGCCACCCCTAGCCATCCTTGGCCAGTGCCTGGTCCAAGAACACAGGGTTCCTCGGGCCCTGGAGTGCAGGGATCGTCAACCTCACTCCCATCCCTCGATGGACCCGAATCTCCAGAGCCACACCCAGCAGTGCCCAGGAGGGCCTGAGGTGCTGGGATTAACCCAGGCCAGCTGCATGCAAGGCCAGTTCGATCTCACTCATTGAAATGAAGACTGGATAAGAGAAGGAACACATGGAGGGTGCGGGATCCCGGAGGAAAAGAAAAAAGAAAAAACAGGTTCCAAAAAGAGCCGAGAGCACCGGCAAGTTCCAGATGGAGTAGGCGCCGCATCCCGCCTCCCCCAGATGGAACCCTGGTGACCAGAAGCCTCTACAAACACAGCTCGAGTATGCGGGAACGAGGACTTTTTCTCAAAACCACGCGGCCGCTTACGCTGCCGCGCGACATCTCTCTATATACAAAGTGATCAATGAGAAGTAAACGACCCAATCTTTCTCCCTGAAAATCAGAGTTAAGTTTGGAGCATGGCCACGGCCCCAGAAACACAAGGACTTAATGCAGAAACCAGCAGCTTAGAGCAGAAAAGTGAACGGACGATGAGTTAACCCAGGCCATCATTTCTGCCCAGAGGGGAAAGGGTGTTGCCCCATTCGCCCTCTCTTCTCTGGAAAGAAGGATGGCGGCCGCATGGGAGCCTTGTGGACAGCAGGTATGAGCCGGGGGTGTGGGGGGCGACTAAAACTTCACGAGAAGGGGGGCATTCCGGTCCGTCCTTCACGCCCTACCGAGGTCAACAGTTGCCCCCCACGAGCGGCTCCCCAGCACGGCCACAGTCCCAGAAGCACAAGGACTTAATGCAGAACCCAGCAGCTTGGAGCAGAAAAGTGAAAGGACTATGCGTTAATCCAGGCCATCAAGTCTGCCGGAGGGGAAAGGGTGTTGCCCCATTCGCCCTCTCTTCTCTGGAAAGAAGGATGGCGGCCGCATGGGAGCCTTGTGGACAGCAGGTATGAGCCGGGGGTGTGGGGGCGACTAAAACCTCATGGGAAGGGGGGCGTTCTGGTCCGTCCTTCACGCCCTACCGAGGTCACCAGTTGCCCCCCGCGAGCGGCTCTCCAGCACGGCCAGGACTCCAGAACACAGAAACCAATTTCTTAACTATCTGACTTTCAGTAGAAATACTTCCAGGGTCAATAGGTAAAAGAGCAGAAATCCAAAACCAACATTTAATTCTTGAACCCAGCTGTAGAAAGCAAATCACTTCACAATGCTTTTTCAGCATGTCTGATTTGGGGGGGGGGTAAACTCTAAATAATAGTGGTGAATCTTTTATTGAAACAATGAATCTAATCAAAGCAGATAGAGTGTTAACTAGAATTCATCTGCCTCACAGGGACGGGGAGGGGTGGGGGCTGGGGTTTTATTGGGGTTCTTCATGGTAAAAAATAAGTATTGGTAAAGGGAAATGTGTTTGATATTTGCATGACTGAGACATAAACCTGAAAGCTTTGTAACCTTTCCCACAGTGATTCAATAAATAAATAAAATTAAAAAAAAAAAAAAAAGAAATGAAGACTGGAGGGGAGGGCATTTGCCTTGTGAGTGGCTGACCCAGCTCGATCCCCGGCTTCCCACAGGTAGCTTGCCAGGCTTTGCCGTGCCAGATACTCTCGGTAGCTTGCCAGGTTCTCCGAGAGGGGCGGAGGAATCGAACTCGGGTCAGCCAGGTTGGCCGCATGCAAGGCAAACGCCCTACCAGCTGTGCTATTGACCCCAAAACAAAAAAAAAATAAAAATAAAGACTGGAAATAAAATTTGTAAACAAAGAAATAAGTTTACTATAAACAAAATGACAGAAAATATACTTTAAGGGAAATAAACTCAGTTAAACCCATGAATTATCTTAAATGTATGAGAAGAAATGGTAACATTTTTTTCTAAAGTGAAGTAAAAAAACGTTGTAATATTAAAAAAATAATAATGAAAGGCTGGATCCTTTGCAGGACACTTGCAAAAAGAAAACGGGGTGTTGTTGGTTCGAGTCATCCAGACATGCAGTGCTAGTTTCTGGGAAGCAAACGAGGTGGGGGCCATGCCGTGTCACAGCCAGTTGGCTGGTGGGGGGCGGCTGGGGGACGTCCTGAGAGACTCAGGGTCCAGCCTCAGCTGTGGGCTGCAGCAGCGGGGGGGTTGGGGGGTGCTGCAGAGGCAGCTGCCCGGAGGACACACTCCCTCCCTCCTCCCTGCCTCCATCCCGGACCCCCAGCCCACACATGGCAACCGACCGGGAGTGAAGACACTTTCGAGTTTGGTTTTCAAACTTTATTTTTCATGAACAGTTTCAGATTATACAAAACATAGAAAACGGGCTATCTTAAAGACACGTGAAGTAGAAAGTGTCCAACTACCCTAAAATCACATATAACCCCAAACCAAGATTCCAATTTTCGGCCTAGCTTTTACCCTAGCGTTCCCCACGACTGCGACACCCCACCCCCACCCCATGCCCTGCTATACAAACCACCCAGCTGAAATCTCTCTGGGGTTGGAGTGTGTGTGTGTGTGGGGGGTGGGGGGGTGTCCAGGCAGTACCCCCCACACACACACACACACACCTGGACAGATTTTACAGTAACAACATTCCCATCTGCAGTCCTAGACTGTGGGTCTAGGGGCCCAGGTTCTTTCTTCATTGGCGGATATGGGGTGACTTCAGCCTGACCGGGAGGGTGCAGAGGTCTCCGGGCCCATGGCACGGATTGTGGGTGAGAGCATGTGGGATGCTCAGTGGCCCTGTGGTTGGGGTGACTCTGAACACCCACACTAAACACCATCACTGAACAGAGACCCAATTTCAAAGCGAATCACAAAACGAGTCATTCTGTCTCCGTCCACAGCCCCCCACCCGAGAGAGTCCAGCACTGTATAAAAGTAACGCCCAACGCCCACCCTGCCAAGGCAGTGGTCAGCGCCGGGCTATTTGGTCCTCATAGGCGTAGCCTGCTGTCTCGGTGTCCTTAGGGTGCACCAGGGTCCCCACTACACCCACGGAGGGGGAGGGTCAATTCTCCTCCACGTGCCCCCCGGGTGCTGGTGCCACTTAGGCCCTGGGGGCTGGGGGCAGCTTCTCAACCATCTCCCAGAGGTGCTGAACGCCCCACGCACCCGGAGTTGGGGGGCCCATACGGGGGTTCAGGCGTTGCTTGGGATCAGTCTTTCTGGGTTTCCGGCTGGGGAAGGTTTTTGTTTTATTTCTACCTGCAGAGAAACTCGGGAGGCGCCAAGGTCCCCCTTCCTCCGCCAGGCTCCACGCTCCGGCCCACGCTGCGCCTGGCCACACTCCCACCCCCCACCCCCGGCAGGAGGTGGTCACCACCGTCCAACTACCCGGCCCGGCCCCTTGTCCCGCGATCCCAGTGGGGTTTCCTTGCCTCTGGCTCTCCAGAGCCGCTCTGCGGGGCCGAAAACGGCTGGAATGAGCCAGTGGACAAGGAACCGGGGACGGTGCGAAGGGCAGAAGAAACGGTCCCTCGGCCCCGACGTGCCGCGCTGCCAGACACTCAGCCGGCTCTTGGCCAAGGGCAGGTGCAGAAGCACCGAAACAGACCGAGTTCCCGTCCCCTCCGGCCCCCACGCCGCACCTCTACTGCGGCCAGGCGTGCGCTCCCCCACCCGGGGCACAGTGCCTGGCGGGAGCATCTCCCAACCGCCTCCAGGTGCATTTGCGCAGGGAGACAGAGGCCCACCCCCAGAGCCGCCCCCAGCAGAGATAAAGCAGCCCCCCTGGTGCCCCAGTTCCCCAGCTCCCAAGAAGCTCCGCCCTAGGCCCGCCTCTCCCCCCACCCCCACACACACAACCAGCTCATTTACGGAGGGGCCCTGGGGAGACTTTGCTCAGCGTCAGGACATACGTCAGTCCGGCAGGACAGACAGCAGCGCCTTGAGCCTGGTCTGCAGTTAACCTGCCCTCCTTTCTGGCTGAATCTCTCTCTTCCTTTTTCCTTTTTCTCTCTGGTTTTTGGGTCACACCTGGCGGTGCTCAGGGCTTACTCCTGACCCTGCTCTCGGGGTTCACTCCCGGAGACGCCCAGGAGGGACCTTAGAGGTGCCGGGGATCAAACCTGGGTCGGCTACGTGCAAGGCAAACGCCCTTCGCACTGGATGCTCACTCCAGCCCCTGGATCCCCGTCTTTTTGGGCGGGAGCCCCCGGAGCGAGTCTATCCCAGGCCGGGCACTCTGTTTTATGCTGCAGGATGGATGGGTGGGCGGGCAGACCCTCTGGGGGGCTAGAAATAGGGGTTAGGAGAGGCAGCCTTCTGGGTCAGAGGGGAAGGTTCTGTCCACCCCCCTTCCCCCCCGTATTCTGGCTCTGGGGGCTATGACCAGGCCCTGGTGTTTCAGAGGTTCAGCTGTGCACAGCTGTGCAAAAGCCAGTGAAGATTCCAGAAGCTGCTGGCCAAAGTCTAGGCCCACCCACCTCCTGTCTCCATTCGGGGAATCCACCACACTGGAGACAGCCAAGGGCTGCGGCGGGGGCGGTGGGGGCGGGAGGGGGTAGCCTTTACGGCCCTTCCTGGGTGCTGGTGAGAAAGGCAGGTTCTGGGGTGCAGCTCATAGCAGGCGGGGCTGAGCAGGGGCCTCGCGCACACGCCTGGACGGGCCTTTCCACCCGGGCTTGGCACTGGTGGGTACGGCCATTCCTCCCCGGACCCCTGTCCCCAGCTCCCCCATGACACAGGAGAGTCCTCTGGCTCAAGCCCCGCAGCTTCAGAACTCGGCTGGACTTTGGGGTTTTGTCTCGTGAGACCTTCGGCTGGGCCCGCGTGGAGTGCCGGCTTCCCCGTCGGCTCTCTGATCTCAAGACAGACTCTTCTTTCTTTGGTTTTTCAAAGGGAACAATGTTTGCCAGGAAACAAGCACGCACACGCACGCACACACACTCACTCACACGCGCGCGCACACACAAACGCACAACGATTATATACAAAACGGTTATCTGAATGCGGGGTGCGGGCGGTGGCGGCGGGCCGGCCTCCTACTTGCGTTTCCTCAGTATCAGATACATGAGGCCGCTGATGAAGGTGAAGGCGAAGGCCACCCACGCCAGGATGAAGGAGTAGCCGTAGCCGCCGTCCATGGTCCCCATGTAAATTAAGTTATTCTGGTGAATCTCTTCACGCTGGTCAGTGTAGATGGAAGCCGCGATCATGACACAGAGGCCTGCGGGGCAGAGAGGGGGCGGGTCAGCTCAGGAGGGCGGCCACCCCAGGGGGGTCCTCGCTCTCCTGGGAACAGCCCAACCACTGTCTGTCTGTCTTTCTGGAGGATTCCAACTCATAGCTGCCCACCAACCCCTGGAGAGGTCCTGGCGGACACAGAGCCAGGGCTCGGCCAGAGACAGGACTAGTCCGGGCTTTGTGGGAGCGTCTCTGTCCAACCCCATGACACCAAAGCAGAGCAGGCAATGGATGGGAATGGGAGTGGGGAAGCCCCCGTGCCCCACAGAGAACATCTCAGCCAGGAAATGCCCCCGGACTCAGAGCACCCCCGGGTCCCTTTCTATTTTTGCTTTTTGGGTCACACCCAGCAATGCGCAGGGGTTCCTCCTGGCTCTGCACTCAGGAGTCACTTCTGGCGGTGCTCAAGGGACCATAGGGGATGCCGGGGATTGAACCCGGGGCGGCCTGCGTGCCAGGCAAATGCCCTCCCTGCTGTGCTATGGCTCCAGCCCCCGGCGGGTCCCTTTCGAGCCCACCCCGCCCCCAGGCTTCTGCTCTGCTGGGAGGCAGGGCGGAGTTGGGGGTCCCCCAGGTACTCACACGACATGAGCTGGATGATGGAGGTGAGGACAAACCGCTCGCCCTGCTTGAGGCGGAAGAGCTGGAGCAGGAAGATGAGGAAGGCGATACAGCAGAGGATGGTGGCCAGGATCATGGAGGCCTGGACAGCCTGCAGCGTGGTGTAGCCTGGGGGCACGGGGATGGCGCAGGACTGAGCCCCGGTGGCCAGGGGGAGCGGCAGGCGGCAGACCCCCGGGCCCCCGTGACACTTTATGCCTGGGCTTTTGAGTTGGACAAGGCTTCTGGTGTTAGGCGGGGGTCGGGGTGGGGCTGCTATGCCTCAGTTTCCCTGCCTTTCGTTACGGGGTCATACCTGGCAGTGCTCAGGGCTGATTTCTGACTTGCTGAGGAAGCACTCCTGGCTGTGGTGCGGGGATCGAACCCAGGTCACTGGGTGCACGGCAAGCGCCTCACCTGCCGAACTGCCTGCCCAGCCCTCAGTTTCTCCAAGGGGGACCCAGGGGCCCAGAGACCGCCCCGGGGCTTAGGCATCACACACACTTACACACATACACTCACACGCACCTTCAAAGTCTTCGTGCAGAACGTCCGTGCAGTTCGTGCCGTTGACACACAACTTCCAGAGGTCCGTGTAGAACTGATCCCCGACCCACCAGGCCTGCGACACAGACGGAAACACAGCGGGGGGCTGCGGTGGAGGCCCGGCCGGTCGAGGAGCCCATGGTCCGCCAAGCTCCCAGGGAAGAATAGGGGTCCCAGGCTGACAGAGGGTGGAGGCGGGAGCGGGGTGGGGGGGCCCAGGCTGTCGGGGTGCGGGGCGGATGCTCCACTATGGTCTGTGACATCTTCCACAAGAACCAAGAGATTCGTGTGTGTGTGTGTGTTTGTGTGTGTGTGTTTGTGTGTGTGGTGAGTATGTTTGTGTGTGTGTGTATGAGTGTGTGTATGAGTGTATGTGTGTGTGCGCGCGCGTGTTGAGTGTGTTTGTGTGCATGTGAGTGTGTGAATGTGTTTGTGTGCATGTGAGTGTGTGAATGTGTTTGTGTGCATGTGAGTGTGTGAATGTGCGTGTGTGACGGGGCGGGAGAGCCGATATGGGTACACAGCCGGACACTGGCCCTGCCCTGGGCTTCAGCACTCTGGGTCACCGTTAGGGGTACAAGTGCTGCTGGTGTCTGTACCTCAAGGTCACTGATGCTGCGAGATGTCTTGGTGCTGGGCATTAAGCCAGGGCCCCAGGACCCCCTTCAGGCTTCGTTCTAACATGGGATGTTCCAAAGCCCACAGGGACACCAAGAGCATCAGCCCCTGTAGGCAGGAGACGGGAGGGGGCTGGGAGGGAGGACGCCCTGACCGGGATCACCCTGGGAGCATTCACCTCCCTGCTCTGGGGCACGCCTGGGCCCGGCTCTGAGGAGCAGAGGAGAGGGACTCACATTGTCAATGGTGGCCACGAACAACAGCGCCGCAGAGGTGATGTGGAAGATGATGATGAAAGCCAGCAGCACCAGCATCTTGGCAGGGCTCCGTGGGCGTGGGCCAGTGCCGCGTTTCAGACCCACAGAGAAAAAGAGAGAGAGAGGAGAGAGAGAGGGAGAGAAAGAAAGGAAAAGAGAAAAAGGTGTGCTAAAGGGGATGAGAGAGGGAGATGCAAACTTGTCAGTGATGGAACAAAACTCAAATGAGAACCCAGCGACTCTCTGTGGGACTGCAGAAAATCGCAAGAAACTGCATCCCTCTGTCCCCTCCTGATGGATGCTCTCCCGGGCAGTCGGGCACCAGGAATCCAGACACGCAGGAATCCCAGACGAGGGGGAGTGAGGATCCATCAGCCGCCTCGTCTGGACACACAGTACCCCGCCGGCACATGAAGGAGTCGCTTTGAGGGAGCAAAACGTGCGTCCTAAGCCCCAACCCACCAGACTACTGCATGGGTCCGAGCATCACTGCGCCAGAGGCTGTGATCATGGTCCCGCTGTGCAGCAAAGGGGATTGGCACTAGAGTACTCTCTGATGAGTCGACCTCTTGGAGACTCAACCCAAATGCTGCTCCCCTGAATTGCTCCTGGTCCCCAGGGGAGCACAGGCCAACCACAACATGCTGATACGTGCCATGGACAACTGCTATTTCATCTTCCTCTCTCTCACTCTCTGGGCACTCTGAGAGTGGCACTGCCCAGTCTCCCTTGCAGTTAGGTGGCCAACTTGAGACGAACATGGACCAATGAACTGTAAGCAACCATCAGCTGCCTAACTTCCAGGTGGAATTAAGAGAATCACAGAATCACTTCCGGGCCAAAGAGCAGCTGTGACTTCTCCATATGCTCTCCTCTCTCTCTCTCTCTCTCTCCTCTCTCTCTCTCTCTCTCTCCTTCGATGAGAGAGACGTTGCCAATAATATGTCAGAGCCTCGCTCTTTGGCTCTGGATCCACTGGACATTAAAACTTTGAGAATTCAGAGCAAATTTTCACTGTGACGGGACGGTCCAAATAATAACCAACAGAAAGGGCCGGTCAAGCAGCACTGGAAATCTTGCGAAAGACCCATTTTTAAACCAATTTCAAGAAAATGCCTCTGGAGATCGACTCAGGGGCCACCGGAGGACATGTCTGAGCTGGACTCGCTCATGGTAAAAGAGGAGGAAGATAAACATGGCTGATGGGGGGGAGCCACTCAAAACAACAACGACAACAACTCTGGATATCAAAGGATTCAAAGTAGCCAGAAAAAATCAACAGAATCTTTGAACACCTTTGAAAACCTGAAGATGTCCCATCAACCACACAGGAGAGGGTACATAACAACACCCCAGACCGACTTGCCATTCACTCCAAAAATTTGTGACAGGATCCTAAAATTTTGTTGCTGCTCTTTCATGCTTTGGGACCACACCCAGCAGTGCTCAGGGACTTCACTCCTGCCTCTACTCAGGGAGTCGCTCCTGGCAGTGCTCAGGACCATACGGAGTACCGAGGATCAAAGTGGACTCAGCTGTGTGCAAGGCGAGTACCTTGTCACTCCTTGTACTATCTCATCGGCTGCGCATTAAGTGGTGGTGAAAAGCACATTATGGAAATTGCATCATCGGTAGCATTTCATGCATTCATGATGCTATGCTAGCATCACCGCTGTCCAGTTCCAGAAGAATCCAACACTCTCTAGAAAACCCCTTGCCCATTATTAGTCATTCCCCACGCCTCTGTCCACTCAGCCCCGGGCAACCACTCATCTGCTCTCCTGTGGGTGGTTCCAAACGTCTCAGAGACATGGAATTCCTCATGTTTCATAGACATGGGGTCGTCAGAGATTCCGCCTCTGGCTTCTTTCACTCCACACCAGTTTTTTCCAAGGCTCATCCATATCGCAGGTGAGCCACTTGAAGTGCGGAGACACTTAAAGAAAATGTCCAGATCCATCATCTCAACAGAATGTCACCGAATGGATTCAGAAGTTCTCAAAGAGGATCACTCACAAGAGCCTTTTCTGCTGCCGACGGTCCCACAGAGTCATTGCTGCAAACTCCTCATCCTCTCTCCGTTAACTCTTCTCTCTTCAGGACCCACGAGTCACTGCTGGAATCATTTCTGCCTGGCACCCTCCTGGGCTCACCTCAGGGCCTCCTCTGAGACTGGACTCATCAAGAAGTAGCCGGGAACCTGGTGGCGTGGGAGCTCATCTGGATGACCCAGCTGCAATTCCTTGGAAGCGCCCAGGGAACCAGCTCCGAGATTCTTCTCATTCTTTTTCCAAGGACAAATTCCCCTTTGTCTAAGCCTGCGTCATTTGGAGCTGCCATTCCAGGCTGCCTCCAAATAGATGCATTTCTGGCCCTCGCAGAAAAGGGGCTCGTGTGCCACGCGAAATGCCATGTTATTTTAATACCAGCTGGGATGCCCGAATGCCAACCTCACTGCACAAGGCCCTGAGCTCAGTGACAAGAGTTCCACATATTGTCCAGTTCCTGTAACACAAATGCATCGAGCACATAACGACAAGTTTCTAGCCTAAGGGGAAAACAGTTTTAACTCAATTTTTTCTTTCGGTGTATGGAATTCAAATGTTATAGGGAATGGCTTTGGGTGGCGCGTGAATATGGCACTGGCTAAGACGAAAACACAGAATGGAAAGTCCCCCATTCATTGATTTTATTTTTCTTTTTTTCGGCCATATCCAGTAATGCAGTGCCAGGATTCGAACCAGGATTGTGGCCACAGCTGTGGCACCCTCCCCTTTGTGTGATCTCTCTGGCCCACCTAAGGGCATTGCTTTTTTTTTTTCTTTTTTCTTTTTGGGTCACACCGAGCGATGCTCAGGGATTATTCCTGGCTCTGCACTCAGGACTTACTCCTAGCAGTACTTGGGGGACCATATGGGATGCTGGGAACCAAACCCGGTCGACTTCATGCCAGGTCAACGCTCTACCCGCTGTGCTATTGCTCCAGCCCCTCCCCCCCCCGGGGGCATTGCTTTTTAATAAAAAGAAAAAGCAGATCTTTGGACAGGCTGTAATAATTTCATAACATTTTTTAAATTCTATTTTTCTTTCTAAGCCGCTTTTTATAGGAAGTCGTAGCATTTTAGTAGGGATATACAATAACCTCTTAAAAACAAATGTACGAAAGTATGACTATAGTATTTTCAAACGATCATATGAAAAGTGCGTCATTTGAGATGAATAAAAGAACAGATGGTTTTCATGGTTGGCAAAAATCCTGGAGGTGCTACTCAAACACCCAGAGCCTAGAAGACATTGCTTTAACTGCTGGTGCGACGTTAGCTGGAATTTCGGGCTTTAATCACAAGAGGAAAGGGTGACTTCCTAAGAGGATAGGAAAAGTCTTCACCTTTAAGTTAAGGGAAAGGTCTAGAAGCTCGCTGGAGGGCTAGAGATGTGTCCTGAATAGTGAAGAAGCAGAAGCAGCCACCATCCACTTAGTATTCCTCCAGGATGCCATCTGCAGTGCCCAGCTCCAGCCCAAAGAGTCCAACCGGAGCCGGTCAGGAGAAGGGCCAGAAAACCCAGGGCATCACTAGTGAGATGCGCTAGGAGGTAATTACCCCAAGGCTTAGGAGGAGAGCCAGGAATTCTTGAGGGGGACCATAAGTGCCCCCCTGCCCTGCACCTCTGCGCCATCTCCCTTCACCTCTCTCTCTCTTGGGGCTCCTTTCCTATGTGCAACCCCGTGACCCCTTGCACGGCGGTGTCAGGTAGGAACACTTGGTCCCCAACCCTTGGAGTTTCGGTGTGGAGGGAATAAGAACCGAGAAAAAATGTGGTTGGAGCGATAGCACAGCGGGTAGGGCGTTTGCCTTGCACGCAGCCAACATGGCCGACCAGAGTTCGATTCCTCCGCCCCTCTCAGAGAGCCCGGCAAGCTACCGAGAGTATTCGATATGCCAGACACAGTAACAACAAAGTCTCCAATGGAGACGTTACTGGGCCCGCTCGAGCAAATCGATGATCAACGGGAGGGCCTTTACTTTACTTTTACTTTTAATACTTCCAGGCGGGAGCCCCACCCCACAGGGCCGCTGACCATCCTGATTGGAGGAGGCAACATGCACACACTCTCCGGATTGGTGGAACTCAGCCCCCTGGGCCCCAGTTTCCCACGGCTGCAGGACCAGTAGAGGCCAGGCTACTTGTCTCATAAGTGAGATGCTCGCTGTGGCCTTACTGGCCTGAGCTGAGTCCAACGTCCTCAGCTAAGTCCCTCTTATTTTTTTTTTTTTTTGCCTCTTGGGTCACACCCGGCGATGCTCTGGGGTTCCTCCTGGCTCATGCACTCAGGAATTCGTCCTGGCGGTGCTCGGGAGACCCTATGGGATGCCGGGAATCGAACCCCGGTCGGCCGCGTGCTAGGCAAACGCCCTCCCCGCTGTGCTATCGCTCCGGCCCCTAGGTCCGTCTTTTAGGCTGTTTGTGGACTTTGAGCTGCTCCAAAGGACCCTGCCAACAACAGCCTTAAAAACTTCATAGCCCATTTGTCTTAGAATTTCGAAAAGTGGGGGTTGCGGGGTTAAAGGGTGCGCACATTATTCTTGGAATGTTTGTTATGCCAGTCTTTAACTGCCCATCTCAGACACGTGCCGTGGGGCAGCTGGAAGGCTTCCATGGCACTGCTCTGGGCGGTGACCATATTGTAAGAGGGCAGCCCTGCAGTGACCTGGGCCCCATGCCGGAGCGGACCTTTGCCGCGGCTGGATAATGAAGATTTATCTCTTGGAAAAGGGGACGGTTGTTCTGCACTGCTGTTGTCTGTTCACTAGGGCATCAGAGCTCTGTGGCTTTACTGCTCACACTTAATACGGCTCACAGTTTTGTTCCAAACCCCGCTCCCTACCCCGGGGAGCTAACTACACTGTCTACACTGTCCTCCCGTTGTTCATCGATTTTGTTCGAGCGGGCCCCGTAACGTCTCCATTGTGAGACTTCTTGTTACTGTGTTTGGCATAATGAATACATCACAGGTAGTTTGCCAGGCTCTCCGAGAGGGGCGGAGGAACCGAACCCGTCTCGGCCGGGCTGGCTGCGTGCAAGGCAAACGCCCTACCGCTGTGCTATCACTCCAACCACATTTTTCTCCCAACTTTTTTTTTCAGGTAGCCCAGATATGCCAGGCAC